TTCTGGAAACCTTGTTAATAAAGAAGCTAATTTTAAATGTTTGGGACTGGGGAAAAACACAGCAAAAAGGGCGTGTGGCGACTGAGAAAAAAGGAACAACATTTTGTTTAAAATTCAAAAGCCAAAAAGTCTTTTTTTTTAACTTATGAAATTTAAGAAAGCATTTAAGAGGCAAAAAGAGCATTAATGTTTTTATTTCAGCAAAAACACCTTACAAAATTACCCAAAATCCAGGGGGGTCCATACTTTTGAACTTGTTTTTTTTACTAGTTACACCCAAAATTTTACTTCCCCATTTTATTAGGCCCTTAGTAGCTTCTCAATATTTTGTTTCCAACATTTTGGAAGAGCTTTTTTTGCCAAGAATTTTGCAGTTTGGAAAGGAGTTTTAAAAGGGGGTTAAAATTTCTAAAAACTTTCTAATGTTTATTAAGATAAACTTTTATTTTGAAGGGTAAAAATTGTTTTTCTAAGGTTAGCGAACCCCTCCAGGGGGTTGGTTCTGAGCTTTGGAGGGAGAGGGAAGAGCTTACAAAGTGAGTTTTCTAAACCCCGCCTTTTAAAAGAAGGAAACCCACCAAACGTCTACCCCAAAAATTTTCCTTTTTTACCTTCCTTTTGCCCTGGGCATCTTGGAAGACTTCTGAAACGGGGACCAGCAAAATCATTGGTAAAAGGGGACAAAAATGAAAGAAAAAGGAAGTAAGGAAGGTGGACAGCATAAATTTTAATACATGGAGGTAACAAAAAAGGGAGCCCATTAAGATTTGATAATGGATTTGAAAAAAGTTTACACCAATGGAAAACAAGGGGGGCAAGGAATAAAGGAAAAGGTTGGGGTTTGAAGGAAGGGAGTAGGGAAAGGAATAATGAAGGAAAGAATGGGAAAAAAAAAAAATAGGGTTAAACAATAAAAAAATGTTTGGGGTAAAAAAGGAAGGCAAATTAAAGAAAGGAAAAGACAAAGTGAAAAAAAAAGAGGGATTGACAAAATACATACAGAAGTAAAAAAGGACATGGGAAAGAACCCAAGAAGGAGAAGGGAAAGAAAAATCAAAAAAAAAAAAAAAACCCAAGGGAATGATCCAGGAAAAAAAATTTTAAAATTTTTTCAAAGATTGAGGGGGACATAAAGAAGGGAAAAAAAAAAAATTTTGTGGTTGGAATGATCGAAAAAAAAAAAAGTTTTTATATTTCTTTTGATAAAGCTGCCACAAGGTAGCAAAGCTTAAAAAAGGGAAATAGTTTATAAACATTTTGGGGGGAAAATTGTATTTTTTGGCTTTTTTCTTGCCACCCAAAAGAAACCTGGCCCCAAGACTTCTGAAGGGGAACGTTGGGGGCCAAAACCAGGCTCTTTTTTTTTCCTCCAGTGCGCACAAACCCCCTTTTAAAACTGGGACCAAAAAACCCAACCTTTACTTACCCCAACTACTGGCCTTGAAAAGCCCAACCCATTTTTTCCTGCCACTTAAGAATATTAAAAGGGCCCCCAAAAGACCCCCCCCATTGGGTGTTTAAACAATTTGGGTAAAAGCTTGGACCACAAAGGGCCCTGGGGGCTTAAAGCGCGGGAATCTAGACTTACTTTTTAAAGGGGCCCCCTGTTTATACAAAAGGGGTTTTGCAAACCGTTTTTTCCATTGGTTAGGGGCTCCCAAAAAAAAAAACACATTGATTTCCCCTCAAACCCCACCAAAAGTAGCTTGGTTAAAGCCACAAAGGCAAATCCTTTTTTTCCCCACATTAACACATGGGTTTTCAAAAAAAAAAAAATTGTTAACGTGTTGGGCTTTAGATCTTGGGGAATAAAAAACCATTTGCTGGACTTAAAGGGGCCGACAGGAAAAATATGAAAAATATTTCGAAATTTGGATTTTTTGCTGTTTTGTGGTTGTTTTGTACCTTTAAAAAAACACTGGTGGCTGCAAAACAGCCAGTTGCAAAAAAACACAGGAAAAAAAGCAGTTAAAAATTGTACCCACAAACAAGTAGGCAAAGCAAATCAAGAACTATCATGGAAAATATTTTTGGAGGTTATGACATTATGAATTTTTTAATTTTTTTTCCTTTGTGGGAGTTTTTTTTGTGTGTGAACATGTGGAAAATACTGCGCTGCTACTGTGAACTTAACTCACTGTGTATGCAGGTAAAAGATCTGTCTAGACAGTGGTCCAGGTATGATTCACCTGCATTGAGTTTAGGGATAGCCATAAATGGTGTCTAAAGTGTAACTGATGGTGGGGATGCTGTTCCCTTACCTTGGTACTCTTGTTGCTCTGATAGCCCAAACCAGCAGCCAATAGGAAAGCAGAATGAAGGGGGAGTTGATAGGAAAGAGTTAGTGCAGTGTCACCCATAACTCAAACAGTTAAGAAGAAGAGAGGGAACAATTGCAGGGCTCTTCTTCAAGACATTTAACTCATAACAACATTATCATGATCACCCTTTTAATTTGTTTTACTGTTTAAAACACGTGTTTTATCTCCAGACTTTACGACAGGTAGCTGTCCTGTGTATTGGCTTTGCATTATGGTCTTCCTAACCTTACCTCCTCCATCCTCCTCTGCCTGCTCAGTCTCCTCCTCCTCCTCCTCAAGCTCGGCCTCTGGCTCAGGCTCTCCCTCCTGCTCCTCTTCAGCCTCTGGGAGAATGGACACCCAGAGAAATTAGTTTCATGTCTTGTACAAATCTTCATTGATGTTGTTCATCATACTGAACTTACCCTCTGCCTGCTCCCTGGAGAGATAAGGAAAAGGAGCAGAGGGACATAATTTTAGTTAAGATCGCAGCTGAAGCATTGACACTATAATAAACAAGTGATGTGAAATGATAAGCCAAGAGGGATGCTGCTCTACTCACTCGTACTCCTCTTCTACATCTGACATGGCTGCAATAAAGAGAAACCGATTAGGACAGAAGTAATGCAATGAAATATTCACACGATTAAAAAAACATGAAATAAAGGTAGTGGTTCATTTCAAGAATTCTTGAAATGTTTTGATGAATTGGGAAACTTCCACATTCCACTGTGTACAATTTAGGGGCATCTCCATCACTTCACCCTCCCCTACTAAGCACAAAGGAGAAACTACGGTGGCCACAAAAGGCAAAAAAAAAAAATGTGAACGCCCCTATATAGAGTCAGTGTTTGGTTTGTCCATTCTGGGCTACTGTAGAAACAATGGCGGACTCCATGGAAGGGGACCCCATAAAAACGGCTCTTTCTAAAGTAATAAAAAAAATGTTAAGGTGATTATACACTAATCTAAACTACTCCTCAATGTTACACATTGGACCTTTAACTGATTAGTCAAATAATACCAACCAACTGAACCCTACTTGTGTCTGTATTTGACTACCTGGAAATGAAAACGGGCTGTGAAGTGTGTAGGAGAAACTACGATGGCCTCGAAACTCCTTGAAACCTTTGTAGTTTTTATAGGTCGACCTACCAAATTTTAAAGAACCAGCGTGTAGGATGTAGTGCCATCTAGCAGTGAAGTTGCAGATTGCAACTCACTCGTGTCATTCTATCTTTCCAACCACAAGCGAGAAACTGTAGTGGCTACAAAATGTGGAAAAAAAATGTGAATCACCCTATCTACAACCAGTGTTGGGTTTGTCCCTTCTGGTTCACTGTAGAAACAGACAGTTCAACATGGCTGACCCGAGGCATCTGTAGTTAAAAATGGCTCATTCTAAGGTAACAAAACACAACAATTCCTATATTCAGGTGATTATAGACTAATGAAAACATACCTATGAATATTATATCCCATTTATAACAACAGATCCTCCTAAATGTTACACACTGGACCTTTAAAACTTAGTGAATAGGTGTAATGATTGTAAAAAAAGATACTGGTCACATGAATTAAAAAAAAACATACAAGGAGTTTTTAAAGTAACCAACATGATGTAAATGCAGGCTCGAAGGTCTGGCTGTGCGTAAGTACATGAGTGAGTCATCATCGTTTTATCACAGGTGGCCACAGTCCTAATTCTCCTGTGATTAATCACTTTGGAGATAGAAAAACACACACACACAAGCACAGAGAAACACTGCACACCGAGATGGTTTTGGCTATAAATTGTCCCTCTGAGCTGCCATTGTCCTGCCATAAAAGCATGCACAGACAGACATATGCCGTGGGTGTGCGCTGACACGTTCCTGGCAGGGGACACAGGGGAAATTGATGGTGTGTCAACAGGTGAGAATGTGACAAGGGTTAAACGTAGAAAGACCAACAGAGATAGAGTTTCTCTCACTTTCTAGTTCCCCACACCATATCTCTCTCCCTGTCTCTCTGCTTTTGTCCTCACTCACCCTTTCAGCTTCTGTCCTGGTGTCTCTAATAGATTAGATGGGATGATTGGTTTCGTTCAGGCCCTAGGAAGAGCCAGAGGAACCAGATTATCTGTCTCATGTTCTACTGTCAGGATATAGTGAAAGCAAATATGACAAAAAGACATCCCCATTTCCTTCGATTATCCCTCTACAGACCACCATGCCCTACCATACTCTCTTACACTCATTAGGAACTGTTCATAGTGGCCCTGTGACTGTGTGGTTGAATTTATAGAGGCAGTAACTGTCGTAAAAATCCCTGCCTTCTCTCCCCTCTGTCTGTTGCCATGCCAGACCCAGCAGCTTGGCATAACCGGACACCATCAATTCTTTCAACGGCAAATCAATAAAGTCTCCAGTCTTGTGCTGTTATTGATCCTCTCTGTCTGTGTTTAAACAGACAGTGTGAGATCTATAAGGCACATCATTCCAGTTCACTTTCTTGCTAAGATTTAATGAGAAGACTGACACCACCATAATGTCTGCATAGTAAATACGAAGCTACAGCCAGCAGATATTAGCTTAGCTTAGCACAAACTGGAATGAAGGGGAAACAACTAGCTTTGCTCTGTACATTGGTAACTGATATTTGTATGATCACATTTGTTTTCCGGAGTGTTTTTCTGACTAATTTAGAGAGCATTTGAAACATTAGACGCATCATTCCTTTATTGATAGCTCGATTTAACGGAAACAAACACCATAACCGGGCTTGTTAGTTCAATTCAAGTCTTGTTAATTTTCAATTCAATTCCCAAATTTTATTTGTATAGGTGCCAATTCATAACAGAAGTTATCTCAGGGACACTTTTCAAATGACAAGCAGGTCTAGAACCAACTCCTTTTAACACATTACAATTGAGACCCAACGCAGTTACCACCATGAGCAAGCCACCTTGGCAACGGGCGGCAAGGAACTGCCTGTTAAAAGAGCAGACAAACCTCAGGCAGACCCTTCAAGGTCTAGGTGGGTTGGTCATCTGCCTTGGACCAGTTGGGGTTGACCCGAGAGCAGACGACGACGACGAGAGGAGAGAGACCGGAGGGATGAGACGCACAGACAGGCCGACAGCGACACAACAACAGGTAAGCAACAAACTACACTACATACACTAAATAAAACATCACAGGAAGGGATGATGGACAACGACGACAGCAGGCAACGATGGGGACAGCGGGCAGCAGCGACAACAGCAAACGAAACACAGTAACTGTATCGCACATAAATAACTTGCTTAATAGTAAGCTAATATAATTAACAAACAATCAATATCAGTGATTATTAGCAATGGGCAGTCAAGGCAAGGGACCATTGGCAGGAAGGCTCCCATCAGGGATGGCATGAAGAACCTGCGAGACGGAGAAAGCACACCAAGACCCACTCCGGGAAAATGAAGGTTCCCAGTAAACTTCAATGCGCATAACAGAACTGGGAGGGCAGAAGGGACATGAAAGAAGTACACCGTAACAGAAGGAGAGGAAGAGAGGAAGCTCCAGTGCACCATGGTGAAATCCACGGATCTAGTCTAGGGGCCTATATGCAGGCATAACTAAGAGATGTTCAGGACTCACCTGATCCCAGCCCCAATTTATGATAAAGTGTGGCCATAAACTAATAAGCTT